AAGTCTATTTTTAAACCAATTAAACATATACTCATGCTAAAATATGACTAAGATGTTCAGGTCTGGCTTTAACCATAAGGGAATAAAAGTGAAAGAAGATTCCCTGGTAAACATCTTAAAGATGAAAAAAAGATAGAATATACATTTTTAAATACAACAGAAAGTATCACATCTATCATTATGAAACAAACACAGTTAATTACAATGGAATACAATTATGAGCCACTGAAATTCCCAGGAGGTTAATAAAATTATGTAGGAAGGTGAGTTGAACTAAAAGAAAAAAACATGGGAAATACATAACACTCATGTACCTCATACACATTTTGAGGCAGATATTAATATACTATTGAAATGGGGAAACCGGTCAGGTGATCAAACCGGACAGTCTTGGAGGAGATCAACCCTGACTGCTCTTTAGAAGGCCAGATCCTGAAGATGAAACTCAAATACGTTGGCCCCAAATGAGAAGGAAGGACTCACCGGAGAAGAGCCTAATGCTGGGAACGATTGAGGGCAAAAGAAGAATGGGATGACAGAATCCGGTGGCTGGATGGAAGCAATAGGCATGAGCTTAGATGGACTCCAGAGGATGGTAGAGGACAGGAAGACCTGGAGGAATGTTCTCCATGGAGTCGTGATGGTTTGGACATGACTTCGCAACTAACACAACAACAACAAATTGAAATGTTGAAGGCATATCCATTTGATTCCATTATCCTGCATTATTTAAGTTCAATTTCTTGTCTGAGTTCAACAAAGCTTTATTTTAGTTAAAATAATTAAATGTATCTAGAATATTTATTTATTACAAACTAGAGAAGAAATTCAGGAAGAAGAACATTTTTTCTTGAATCTAGGTAGGTAGCTTAGTTATCTCTGTGTTAATCCTGAATACCCAAGATTCTCAACAGTTTTTTCATTTCATGAAATCCTGTCGGAGGGTGAGGGCAAAACCAGGAAGCCAGCTTCATCTGCTAATAATGAGCATGCTCAGTTTATGGAGCAGACTCAGTAACAGAGAGAGGAGAGAGAAAAAAAATCAAATCTCATGGGCAGAATCTCGGAGCAGTGAATTGAGCAGGAAGAAAAACGTGAAGTGGCAGAAGAAATGGAGGAACAGATGGCCGACAAAGCACCACCAGCTGAAGTGGAGGTCAAGTCAGAGGCTAAACTCATCCTCTATCACTGGACACAGTCCTTCAGTTCCCAAAAGGTGAGCGTCTCATCTGCTAAAAGGAATGTTGTATTTCAGAACCTGGATAGCTCCCCCCACCCATGTAGCCCCCCCCCCCTTTAAAACTGCCTATTTGCCCTGGGGAGACAAAGCATTTGTATTAAAGGCCGCTCTGAGTGGGTGCCTGAGAGAAGAAGGAATCAAAAATAATGAAAAAATGGCATACTCAAGCCAGGAAGCTTCACAAACAGGCCCAGACCCTATTGTTCAATTTTGTGCATTAAGAATGGGAGCTTGGCTAATCCAAGATAAAGGAATGAAAAATAGGCAATAACAAAACCAAGTGACATCAATTTATATTACAGGGAAAAAGTGTCATATGAACAGCTGATATTTAATATGCACATTAAATCGTTCCTGCAGGTTTCTTATTGTTTCTCTGTAATAGCAGCATGTTTTATTCAGCTATTTATTATCATAATCTCCCAATGTCCATAGCAAATATCCCAGGGCCAAGTTCGATATGGCACTTGGAGATTCCATGGCCAGGTTTGGCTTTGAATCCATACAATATGTGATAAACTGCATGCTTTTTTAAAAAAAAATTGGATACCCATAATCTTGAACAGGAAAGCTCATCCGTTTGTTTCAGGTACGACTGGTGATTGCTGAAAAGGGGTTGAAATGTGAAGAGCATGATGTAAGCCTTCCACTGAGTGAACATAATGAGCCTTGGTTTATGCGTTTAAATGCATCAGGAGAAGTCCCTGTGCTCATTCACAAAGAGAACATAATTTGTGATGCAACTCAGATTATTGACTACCTTGAAGATACTTTTGTGAATGGTAATAAGATATTTATATTTGTTTTTTAAAAAGCCTTAATGTGTGTATCTCATTTCATATGTGTAGGGAGATTCTCATTCATCCAAGCCATTGTTGTCCCAAAGGTACTTTTTAAAGAGACTTCCTTGTTCTTTCACTTCTCATCCAAGAAGCTTCTTCAACTTTGACAGGATGATGGGGGAATGGAAGGATTTATATTTCTTGCAGACAGCTGGTCATTTACATTCTTTTAGAGAATCCTTGTGGCCTCAACTGCTCTCAAAAAGAATCCAAACGACCAGCTGTCACATAGGAATATAAATCTTTCCCTTCCCCACCATCCAGTCAGAACTGAATAAGCTTCTTGGATAAGAAGCAAAACATATTCAAAGAAAAACAAGAAAAATCCATTTACCTCTTGAAAAAGCATCTTTGGGACATCTTATTTCATAGAAATTTATTTATGTACTAAATGATTATTTATACTATGCATTTTATATTTTGTATCTTATTTGTACACCACCAGGGTCCTTCTGTGAAGGAGATGAGTGGTAAATAAATAAATGTGATAAATAAATTGCAGTTTGAGAAAGTTTTCATGAGGGAGACATAATTTTAAGCTTTATTATTGCAAGGCATAGAAAAGACACTTGGAGTGGGATATAGACACATATAAATCTTTTTATCAGCAACTCTTCTGTAGAGAAACAGGAATTTACCTTGACCAGTATTATCTTCCTTAATTGGCAATGGCTATCTGGGAAGCTAGAGGATTTCTTTATTTCTTACACGATCCTGTTAACTAAAATCATATCAAGAATATTTACAGGTATTCAACAGGGTGGAGTTAGATGATAACATATAGAATAGTATGGAATCCTATAAAATATATTCCTTGCACCTGAGCAGAAATCTGCCAGCTATACCTTGTGGAGACAGGCATCCAAGTACAAACAAACAAAATTATCCGGATTTGATTGAGACAGACTCTTGAAAGGATACCATAACTTGCAGTGATGGGATTCAAATAATTTAACAACTGGTTCACCGAGGGTCAGATTCGCCTTCATGGGAGGCATGGCCCATCCCCATACTCCAGCTCTGCTGCATATGTGGTATAAAGCCTCCCACGACGGCCAACCTGATTCTACTGTGTTTCCCTGAAAATAAGACAGGGTCTTATTTTCTTTTTACCCACAAAATATGACTTGGGCCTTAATATGAGGGGAGGGTTTATTGTTTTGGGGTTGCTGGGCGGCTGCTCTCTTGCGACCTGGCCAAAGAGCCAGGCACAGCCTCATGGGTGAATGGCTGTGTTGCACTGTTGCAGCAGTGCAACACAGCAGCCATGAAGCAACCACGCTCATGAGCAGCCACCCGGCAAATCCCCTTTCTAGCCATGCACAACGCCATTCACTGACCTAGGGGTATCACCAAGCCGCATGAGCGCCTGTTCGCCACCGCCCAGCTCCCACGGCTTGGCGCCTTCAAAATGCCAGTGAATGGCGCTCTGCATGGCTGGAGAGTGGCTGTTCTGCTCTCGCTCACGCGCCTCCCAGCCTCACAATGCCCTGGCCCAGCTCTCCCCACAGAGCCAGGGCACCTCCGCTGCTGCTGCATGGCTTTTTCTGCGGCTTCCAAACTGAGTCTTCTGGCAGTGGCTGCTCTGGGTGTACGCTCTATGTTGTACGCTCTGATGGCAGCTGGCCCACAACCATAGAGCCTACACCCAGAGTGTCCACTGCCAGAAGACTCAGTTTGGAAGCCACAGAAAAAGCCATATGGCGGCATGATGCTCTGGCGCTGCAGGGAGACTGGGCCAGGGCATCGTGAGGCTGGGATGTTCGTGAGCAGGAGTAGAACAGCCACTCGTGCAACCCCCCTCTCCAGCCATGTAGAGCACCATTGACTGGCAGTTTGAAGGCGCCAAGCCACAGGAGCCAGGCGGTGGGGAACAGGTGCTTACGTGGCTTGGTGATACCTCTAGGTCAGTGAATGGTGCTATGCCCGGCTGGAAAGGGGGTTTGGCGGGTGGCTGCTCATGAGCATGGTCGCTTCATGGCTGCTGTGTTGTGCTGCTGTGACAGCACAACACAGACATTTGCCCATGAGGCTGTGCCCGGCTCTTTGGGATCCCGCTTGCAAGATAGCAACCGCCCG